CCACCACTGCTACTATCAAATACTCTGCCGATTCAACAAAAATCACCCAAACGTCATAGCTACCACCTCTGCGCCACCATCAACAAAAATTTCAGCAGATCCGCCCCCGTACCCACAGATCTGCCCCTCTCGGATTCCGTCAACATCGATCCGCACAAACCACCGCCGAGCCACACACACATTTCACTGTAATTTCGTCGTCCACCGACTCAGCAGCAATTTCGTCGTCCACCGACTCAGCAATCGTTCAGCCATACGCTGTAATTTCGTCGTCCAAACGACTCACTGTAATTTCGTCGTCCACCGACTCAGCCAAACACTGCTGACTGCGACGCAGCTGCGAAGCTGGTAGCAGTGTCAGTAGCAACGCTGCTGACTCGCAGCTTCTGAACGTAGCGTCGCACTGCTGCGACGCTGGCAACAGCGTTGCTGCGATGCGATGAGGGCAGCAGCTCCTGAACATGAGGAGGAAGAGGAAGGGGAAAGGGAAGGGAAGGGGAGGGAGAGGGGGAGGGAAGAAAAACTTAGGGAGGAAGGGGAGAGACGGGAGAGAGGAGGAGAAAGAAAAATAATTAGGGTTTGGGAATAAATTAGGGTTATGAATTAGGTTTTAATATAATACCTGATTTTTGAATAAATAAATTGTTGACTTGATTTTTAAAAAATAATCTTTAAACATCTGATTTTTTATAATTTCCCATGATTAATCAACATATTGGGTCGAGCCCAAAATTTCATAATTGCCCAACTGTTTTGGACTGAGCCCTTTTTGGCATCGCAACCCAAACAAAGTCTTAAGAAATTTTGAATGCAAACGACTTGTCAAAGTATTTGCATTTACAAATGTTGTGTAAAATCTAAGGCTAGAGGTTTTATTGTCTATACAAATTAAAGATCATGAAAGAATTTGTCGAATAATAAGAACAAAGTATATTTTAAGAATTAATGAATAAATAATATTTTTCATTCTTAAAATATGATTTACATTAATAATAATAATAATAATAATAATAATAATAATAATAATAATAATAATATATATGAAGAGTTAGGGTAAAAATCATGTTCGTCATTTCGATTACTCGTGAGGCAAGTCAAAATCTCAATCCAACCCTGCATTTCCTTCGAAACTTCCTCCATAGCTGCGTTCACACGTCTCTTCTGACTATCTATAATATTATCAGAAATTTTCAAACTTCTATTCTATGATTTTGACAATTGACATTCTTCCATACGTGTTCACACTTCCCTTCAAACATGTCCTCAAAGACCTCGACTGCATTTGTATATCAAGTTCCCATTCCACCCAGAAAATCCTGATTGCTCTCCATTTTTGCTCGTCTCAAGAAACCCGTTATCAGATGAATGAAAATAAGCAGCAGCAGCAGCAGCAGCAGCAGCAGCTGAAGAAAAGAAGAAAGAAGAATACAACAGATACCAGTGTCGTTGATGAAAAACGAGGTGGGGTGAAGACAAAAGGATTGAAAGAGATATCGACTTCTTTAATTTTGCTTGAGGATCAAGAAAAGGATGGCCGAGAAGAATTTGCCAAGGCCCATCAAGAAGAAAGGTTACAATTTGAGGAAAATCACAAGAAGAAGACAAGCGCAATGCTCGATTGTTACTCCAAGTTGCACGTAATAACTCATCTCTCCTAAAAGTTTAAATTATTACGCATCACTTTATATTTATTTAATTATTGTCTTCAATAGGAGGACTATCATGAGGATGTGGATCGCGTTGATGGGGCTAGAAAAAGAAAGGCGCGGGCCAATGTGTTTGCTGCATCAAATGCTACTGCCATCGCCCTTGCCTCGGCCGACATAGAGGATTCCATTTCAGGTGGTAACGATAGAACTAGTGCGAGCGATAAAGTGCCAGCAACAGGACCGCAGCGGCGGCTTTGGGTTAAGCATAGATCTAAAGATTGGTGGGATCAATGTAATAGCCCGGATTTCCCAGATGAGGAATTTAAGAAGGCATTTAGAATGGGAAAAGATACTTTTGTCTTGATATGCAATGAATTGAGTTCGGTTGTTGCCAAGGAAAATACTTTGTTGAGGGATGCTGTCCCTGTGAGGCAACGTGTTGCGGTGTGTATATGGCGGTTAGCCACAGGGGAGCCGCTTAGGCTCGTTTCGAAGAAATTTGGTTTGGGAATTTCGACCTGTCATAAGCTTGTTCTTGAGGTTTGTTCCGCAATTAGGAATGTTTTGATGCCGAAATATTTAAGGTGGCCGGACGATGAAACAGTGAATAGGATTAAGGATGATTTTGAGTCCATTTCCGGGATAAGCAATGTGGTAGGATCATTGTACACAACTCACATGCCAATCACTGCTCCTAAAGCAAGCGTCGTGGCCTATTTCAACCGAAGGCACACGGAAAGGAATCAAAAGTCCTCGTATTCAATTACAGTTCAAGGTGTGGTTGATCCAAGGGGAGTGTTTACTGATGTCTGTATAGGATATCCTGGTTCAATGCCTGATGATCATGTTTTGGAAAAATCCACACTTTTTCAAAGAGCAAATGCAGGTTTCTATAAAGATGCTTGGATTGTTGGAGGTTCTGGATACCCTTTAATGGATTGGGTATTGGTACCCTATACACAACAGCACTTGACTTGGACACAGCACGCTTTCAACGAGAAAATCGGGGAAGTTCAAGGGATTGCGAAAGAGGCATTTACAAGACTGAAGAGACGATGGGGGTGTTTACAGAAAAGAACTGAGGTCAAACTTCAGGACTTGCCTGTTGTGTTAGGGGCGTGCTGCGTTTTGCATAATATATGCGAAATGAGGAACGAGGATCTAGATTCATCGCTGAAATACGAATTCTTTGATGATGAAATGGTTCCGGAAATAAGTTTGAGATCACCAAATGCCATGAAAGCAAGGGACTCCATTGCTCATAACCTTTTGCATCATAACCATGCTGGCACTTCATTTCTCTCATAGAAGGTGAAAAATCTTTGCTTTTTCTCAATGAATATCACATTATACCTTTTTGTTTTGTTGTAGCCTTGTAGGCTCAAGAATCTTACACAAAAGTCATAGACACTGATTGTTAGTTTAGTTTTCACAATTAACAAATGCATAATATTTTTTTCTTTCAGCTTTTTTTATAGCTTTTGCTCTTATCCGTCTATTGGTCCTACATTTTCTTGAATATGAAATGAAGATAATTAATTGTGGGTTTGTATTTGGTTACGTGAGAATCTTGTTGACAACAAAGTCATGATGGCAAGAACCAGTAGGGAGTCCCTTTCGTGCAGTTGAGATAATTTTTAAATAAATTCGTACCATATTTTAATTTCATGAAAGGTACCTATCTTTTTCTTAGCATTCTTATTATCAAATTAATAAAAGTTGTCTAATGACGGTTTCTATCTAAAAATTTTGTTAAGATAGTGACAAACTTATTTGCCTCTTGGATTCTTAGATAAGTAAAAAAAAATGTTAAAATTAAATATGTGTCCCTCGTTTTAAAGCACTTTCTACAGTATTTTTGTATGAATACCGTAATTAAATTGTGATGTATATATAAAAAGATGTGGTGTGAATATAATCACCTTAAAATAAAACAATAAAAGGTCATAGCTACAAAAATGACAATCCACCATGCTCTATTTTTCCGCTGTTGTGAGGTTAAACAACAATACATCCATAGAAGCGTAAAGAAAATGAGAATTTTAAGATAGATGTATAGTTCAAGTAAAATGGAAAGATAATATATTGGTTTGCATTCAAATCTGCCCATGTTATATATAAATGATTTTATCTATTATTTCTACGTATTTTTTGTCACCTTTATTGACAGATTCTATGTTGGCAGAAAACTAGCTATAAAAATAACTATTTTTAAAAATTGTCTAATGACAGAATGTTATGTAGAATTCTGTCAAATAAGTTGTACACCAAGATGTATACCAAGCATTATTGATAAAAAAACAAAAAAGAATAAAGGATGCAAATGCAGGTTTCTATAAAGGTGCTTGGATTGTTGGAGGTTCTGGATACCCTTTAATGATTGGGTATTGGTACCCTATACACAACAGTACTTGACTTGGACACAGCACGCTTTCAACGAGAAAATCGGGGAAGTTCAGGGGATTGCGAAAGAGGCATTTACAAGACCGAAGATACGATGAGGGTGTTTACAAAAAAGAACTGAGGTCAAATTTCAGGACTTGCCTGTTGTGTTAGGGGTATGCTGCATTTTGCATAATATATGCGAAATGTGAACGAGGATCTAGATTCATTGCTGAAATACGAATTCTTTGATGATGAAATGGTTCCAGAAATAAGTTTGAGATCAACAAATGCCATGAAAGCAAGGGACTCCATTGCTCATAACCTTTTGCATCATAACCATGCCGGCACTTCATTTCTCTCATAGAAGGTGAAAAATCTTTGCTTTTTCTCAATGAATATCACATTATACCTTTTTGTTTTGTTGTAGCCTTGTAGGCTCAAGAATCTTACACAAAAACCATAGACACTGATTGTTAGTTTAGTTTTCACAATTAACAAATGCATAATATTTTTTTCTTTCAACTTTTTTTATAGCTTTTGCTCTTATCCGTCTATTGGTCCTACATTTTCTTGAATATGAAATGAAGATAATTAATTGTGGGTTTGTATTTGGTTACGTGAGAATCTTGTTGACAACAAAGTCATGATGGCAAGAACTAGTAGGGAGTCCCTTTCATGCAGTTGAGATAATTGTTAAATAAATTCGTACCATATTTTAATTTCATGAAAGGTACCTATCTTTTTCTTAGCATTCTTATTATCAAATTAATAAAAGTTGTCTAATGACGGTTTCTATCTAAAAGTTTTGTTAAGATAGTGACAAACTTATTTGCCTCTTGGATTCTTAGATAAGTAAAAAAATATGTTAAAATTAAATACTTGTCCCTCGTTTTAAAGCACTTTTTACAGTATTTTTGGATGAATACCATAAATCAGAACAAGATTTGCTAATTAATAAATGTTAAAGATAAGAATGTGACAAAGAAAAAATGAAGAATATAAATATGACCACGAATAAAGATAAAGATCTTTAATGTAATTAAATTGTAATGTGTATATAAAAAGATGTGGTGTGAATAGCTACAAAATGACAATCCACCATGCTCTATTTTTCCGATGTTGTGAGGTTAAACAACAATATATCCATAGAAGCGTAAAGAAAATGAGAATTTTAAGATAGATGTATAGTTCAAGTAAAATGGAAATATTGGACGCAACAATTTAGAGTTGTCTAAATACTAGGATTCCCATTGTGATGGCTCAAAAGTAGAAGTTAAAAAAAGTCAATGTATTGGTTTGCTTTCAAATCTGCCCATGTTATATATAAATGAATTTATCTATTATTTCTACGTATTTGTTGTCACCGTTGTTGACAGATTCTATGTTGGCAGAAAATTAGCTGTAAAAATAACTATTTTTTTAAGAGTTATACTATACGTACATAATTTTTTACCTAATGTTTTAACGAATTGACAAGTGGCGGCTCCCTATTGAGGGGTGCCTGTGCCCAGGCCCCATCCCCCAATAGTGAGCCACCACTTGTGAATTCTGTAAAACATTAGGCCCCTGTTTGGGTCACATTATTTTTTTCATTCTCATTTTTCTACTCATTTTCAACCACACATTCTTCAATAAAATAATATTTTCCATCACATCAATAACTTTTCTTTATTTTTCAACCACATATTCTTCATCACATCACTTGAAAAAAATACATTCTCTCATTTTAATGTGTACCAAACGAGCTCTAGGTAAAAAATTATGTACAAATAGAATTTTTCTTTTTTTAAATTGTCTAATGACGGAATGTTATGCAGAATTCTGTCAAGTAAGTTGTAGTGTTGTACACCATGATGTATACCAAGCATTATTGATAAAAATGAAAAAAAAAAAAAATAGAATAAAGGATGCAAGGCATTAGTTGGAGTTATGCGGTTGGAAGATAACATTGACAATCGGGTGACTTCCACTCATTAATTTTCTCAATTAAAAGTCAAACAAAATTAATTCTTGACCTTCCCCAGTTGTTCTTGTATCTCCCCAGATGTCGAGGGGTTGGCAATGGACCAAGGTATTGCAGCCATCCAAGCTCGGTTTGGCTAGTTGGACGAGCCAAGCTTAACCCATAGGTTAACTGGCTTGTTGATCAAGCGGCTCGCCATTTTCCAAGCTCAAGTTAGAGCTTGACCCGGCTAGCGCTGTGCTCCTTTAGATGCATATCGAGCCAGTAAGGAACTTGAACCAACTGCCACCATAGAAAATTGTTTGTCTGGATATGTTTATTTTTTTGAAATATTGTTTTCAACGAAACTTTTATGTGATGGAGAATTTAATATAAAATTAAAATGGAGAGTATTGGGTAGAATTTAATAGAAAATAAAATTGGTTTATAGGGCAGGAATCATATTGAAGGTTAAATTTACATAAATAAATGTATTTTCTGTGTAATATTTAAAACTTTTAGATGACTTGCTTCAAGAATGTGCGACTTTTGTGTGCTCTAATACGTTGACTAACTATTTAAAGTTTAATTTTTAAACGAAAAATAAATATCATAACGTACGCAACCATGTTAATTGGAAATTAGAAACTTTTAACAACTATTTAAAATGAGAAAAAACTTGTCAAGTATTGTCACGTGAAATGTAAGAACGAACATCTTGAATGTAAAACTCCATTACCTTTGAGTTATTTCTTTAATTCTTGAAGGTCGTGTACAATCATTTATGATTTGATTCGTAGATTAATTATAAATTTTCATGAATTGTTAGATCCTCGATACATGAATTATACAATCATTTATGATTTGATTCGTAGATTAATTATAAATTTATATACTTACAACAAATTTAATATGATGTGCAATAGTTTCGATTTTACTGAATTTTTTGAAATATATGATTTTCATCGATTTTATGAATTTGAAAGTCATTGTCTGACCCTCGTTTTTTAATTTATTTTTTAAAAATTCATTTTGAACCGCACATTTCCTGAAATCCACAACTTTTATTAACTTTTTAATCATACATTTTATCAAACTTGATTAAAATCTATTAAAAATCTAATTTATCATTGAAACTTGGGAATTCCCAACCATTCCGATTAGGCAAAAACCAAAATAACATTTCTAGTTAGGGCTATATTGGATTAACACAATTCCATTTAATGGAGGAGATATCTAACTTGTCAACTTTAGAAAAAAAGTAAGCTCTTTAAGATCGCATAATACACGGCCAGATAAGAGGTGATGCGGCGCTGAAACGTTCATTTTTAGGTGCAATCATTGCATTAACGTAATCCAATATAATGGAAGAGATATCCAGCTCATTAACTAGCAAAATGTAAGCCCTTTAAGAACGCACAACACTTGACCGGGTAAGAGTAGACAAGGTGTTGGAATAACTTCAAGAAAGCCGTTATATACTACATCTGTAGTTATCAAAATCGCGATCAGAATTGTAGGATCGTACAATCTTAAAAAATCAAAACGATCACGATCATATACAAATTGCAAATTTGATAGGATCTTACTAGAATCACTATAGAATCGTAGAGAATAATATATGAGAGCGCTAGAATCGTAATCAAATCGCATCGGGATCACACTATGATGGAACATGAAATAGTAATAGTTCAAAATCTGAAAATGAACAATTTGATGTTTGTTTTGATGATATTTCTTCTTATGATGAATGAATAATAGAAAACGAGCATCTAATTCTTCCGCAACCAAGAAATTTGTTAGATGTTGATAGATCTACATGATGAGAATCTCGGTAATACTTTTATTAGACACTTTTTAGTATCATATCTGAATTGTTACTATAATTAAGAAAATTAGACCTATTATAAATTACAAAATATGCTTTTTGAAAATAAAATAAAAAAATGCTCTAGAGATGTAATCAATAGACAGCAATATTAAGCCTATGTTTGGTGCACATTTTTTTCCAATGAGCGCTTTTTTATTTTAATGAGATGTCGACGGCCCCGGTGAACTTGCATGTGGTGAGGTCAGGTTTCAGTTTGAGATCATAGCGTTTGGGGGTTGCGAATTTGGGAAGCCTTGGCTGGCCTTTGAATTCGGAGAATCTCCGCTTCTGCTGCTCCATTTTTGTGAATTGACGAATTCTACGGCTAGTTGTGACCGAGCGAGCGCGTGATTACTACTGAATTGTGCGTGCAAGTCAATATTCTGAAATATAAATAAATTTCATAATGGGTACTTCATCTATACAAAATATGGCAATTAGGTCTCTAACTTTAAATTCAGGTCGTCCTGAAAGGTTGCTTGGCGTAAACATCTTCAAAGGTGATTTTTGTAATTAATTGTCGGTACAAATGGGGATTATGAGAGAGAAGAAACGTCCATTCTCTTCAGCAACTTCACCTTGTGCCCATCTCAGGACTGCTTACCACAACTGCTTCAACAGGTGAATAATTCGATCATTTTCTTTCTAGTATTTCCTCTTTTATTTAAATTTTCGAGAGCATCTTTTTGTCAAATTTAATTCTCCGGAACCCTAATTAAACCTCGGAGACCTGAATTCGATGTTATATGTAGGTGGTATGCGGAGAAGTTTTTGAAGGGTGAGTGGAGCAAACAGGAGTGTGTTTCTGAGTGGGAGAAATACAGAGAATGTTTATCTGTAAGCTCTTATTAACTGAAATTTGAAGTGAATATCTATTTGCAGATTTTTAGAAAAGAAGTAAAATTCCAATTTGGGATCTTAATTTTCGGGTTTTTCCTTTTTATGCCAGCAACATTTGGACGATAAGCATCTGAGCCGGTTCTTGGAAGCTGAAGGCATTGTAGATTTCACCAATCAAGCTGAGTATAAAAAACCCACCGGCGTTTCTAATTGATTTTTGCCAAGATTCTACAAGAACTTGATTAAGTTGTCTTCTGCGTTACATATGAGAGGATGCATAATTACATGTCTACAAGAAAAATTGTTCTTTACAGGTTTCTATTAACACTGTCCATCTATGAAATATAGTAGGTATGCAAGTCTAGTGAATGGCAAGAAGAGAAACCCTGGCCACAGGGGAAGGTCTTATGTAGTTCAAACCGTTTTTTAGATAGATGACATTCTAAGGGTAAATGTGCTTGAACTCACTGTTAAATTTATGACAAAAGTCATCTATTATTTCCTTGACTTTCTTGTTTTATGATCCTTCCTATGGATGGAATATAAAAATTTAATTTACAATAGACATTTCTTCGTTTATCATGGAACAACTGATATGTGCTATCATAGATTCGGCTAGGTGTAGAATGAAACATGCAATTTTCGTTCGTGTTCTTTGTTCACTTCTGTAAATAAAATCTTATTCTCTTAGGCTATTGAAGGGAATCAGAACCCATGATCCAAAGTCTAATATATTATCCAAGGTTATTGAATGGAACAAGAAATCATGTACACGAGTTATTATTCTTACACTTGAGACAAATATCTATACTTCTTAAGATGTGATTTATCATGGATTCTATGGGATTTTCTCTTTAAAATCATTTTTTTTTGCATTTGCGTGCTTCCCCTAGTTTTTGTTCCTGGACCTTATAATGCATTCCTCAACCATCGCGCTTACTAACTTTATGATGTTTAAATGAGAGATAATTATCTTGTTCTTAAGGGTGTGTTTGATGGATATTATTGANTGGGCGTGTTTGATGGATATTATCGAGAAAAGAATGTATTTTAAATATTGATATGATTGGAAATATATAGTTAAAAAGTAAGGAAAAATTATTGATGTGATGAAAAATATTATTTTATTAAAAAATTTGTGGTTGAAAATGAGTTTTGGAAAAATGTATTTTGAAAGAACGTGTACCAAACAGCGGCTAAAATTTGTGTTGTTTCACTTGTTGGTATGCCATTAACCATTGTGAAAACATTAAAGAGTGATGCCACTAACAATAATCATATCCACATAATTTTTACAAGTTTCTCTGTTATCTCTCCTTTTGGTTTTTGCCTTCTCTCTCTGGGTTCTTCTCCACAAGCATATATGCATAGTCCTTGTTAGATCTCTCAGTTTCAGTACCAAGAATCCACCCGCAAAAGCAAATCCCAGACTAGTGTTGATAAAATATAACTTGCGCTATTTTCAGAAGGAAAAAACCATAGACGAGAACGAAGCCTTATATGTGGTGGAGGATGAAGAGCAATTATTCAAGAATGGTCTTAATTCATGTATACAATTACCCTCCAAATTACAGTTTTCAATTAGGATTGGGAAAGGTTGGATTTCAAGATATTGGGCTTGCTACCGAGACTCTAAGACTTACTATTCTGAATTAAGATTAGATGCATTAGTGGCTCTTAGAAAGGTATATGTTGGCACTATTTCATTGATTCACCAAGCTAAATCCAACATGTGACCTGAGAAATTCTGCGGTAAATGGAAACAATTGTGACAGTTGAGTTGTTTGTTCTTCTGTTACAAAATCCTTTCTTTTGTTAGTTGGTTCTAGTGTACTGAAACTTGGCCAACTGCAGCTAGTGCATTCTAATATATGACCTTCCCGAGGATCTAATACTCTAAACCACGACTTATTTTCATTTTATTCAGGCGTCCTTGTTTAAAAACTTTATAGTTGGGTGCAAATCTTTGCCCCTTCCCCTTTCTCGTTTATTTTTTGAAGTTTTTGATCTTGTACAGGCCTCGAATTTGGCTATTCATAGGTTTTCAGTACTTATTTTCGATAAATCTACTACTTAACTCTCTCCGTTTAAGAAAAAGCTATTGAGTTGAAATCTTGTAGTTACAGAATTATGTACTGTCTAAACTTATTGACATGAGCAAGTTTAACATGTAAATACAGAAGCTTGATTCTGGTAGAATGTAGCTGTTTAGGAGAACTGCCAGTAAATGTAGCTTGTCTTGCTTCATTTTATATGTTTAACTGGTCTTTGACACATGATTGTTCATTTATGAAAATAAATTTTGGTTGAGGTCGCCATTATTAGTAGTCTTAGAGATAGATTAAAAGATGAATGGCTTAGTTTGTCAGACATACCTTATATAAACGTTAAAAATTTCTTCTTCATAAGATGGATGATAGAAGAGGGGGTGGATAAACTATGCCATGAATCGCCCTATCCATCCTCCCGATGAGAGGTTTGTTTTCAAATCCCCGTTATAATACAAGGAGTAGGCAATGCTAATGTGCCAAGTACGATCCATATTTCAGAGCCTGGCACAATTAATGTGCACATTGAGTGGCTGAAAGTCCTCATCGTCGAAACACAATGGCACAATTATTAGGGTTGTGCTCCACGTTTGAGCTTATAACTGTCACACGAGCTTCTCACTAGGGCTGCTAGGCCAAAAACGACAGGAATTCCATCCCCCTCTTTCCTTTTGTCACCCCAATGTTGTCACACAGGATGTAGAAAAGGGAACCTATCAACTTGTTGCCATCATGATCGTTAAAAATCCTCCTTATATATTCAATATTGCACCAATTAAAATTGTATTTACGTATTCAATCTCAAATTTACTGCAGTATTTAACAATAACTTCATTCATGCATGTAATTTCAACATTTTTCCATGCTTTGTGGTATTTCTCCTAAAAAGATTTCTTTCATTTTTGTAATATAGTATTTACTATATATTCGTCATAGGTCTTGCCTCCAATGATTCGATTTAACTGTATCATTGGGGGAGCTTAATCTAAAAAAATAAAATAAAACAGAAGTTAGAATATGTTGTGCCTTTCTAATTTAATTTATTTAAATAAAATATATTTTCTTAACTCACAATGTTATTTTTCTCCATTAGATATGATTATTCATCTATGTAGCAGGTGACGTGCTATTAAATGATAAGTTCAATTAAATGTATTAATGAAAGATTCACTATATAGATTTTAGGGATAATTGCAGCAGAAGCCCCGAACTTTTGAAACACTAGTAGACTTTTTCAAAACCTTTGATTTGATGCAGTCATCGCTCCTAACATTTCCAAATGTTGCAGGTAAAACCCTTCTGGACAGTTTCCATCCACGATTCTGTTAGTTGACCAAAAATTTAACTTTTGACCACATTATAATCTATTTCAACGAGGGTAAAATGGTACTTTTATATTTACCACATTAAATAACAAAATTAAAAAACAAAAACAAAAAAACAAAAAAGAAATGGAAAAATTGTACCTTCTTCTTCCCAAATCCACCAAACTCGCTAATCTCCAATCTGAATCAATAATCCTTGGATCACCCAGCTTGCTCAAGAGAAGTGGTATCGTATCAGTCTCCAGCATCAATGATCCTTGGATCACGTTTTCACTAAAAGGAAAAAGAGAGTATCTTTCCTGCATTTAAACACATACACGTACAGGCAATTTGGATCTTGAATTGCTTTACCCTTTTTGCTCTCAGTCCCTTTCTCCAACTTTAAGAGAGACAATTATCTTAGAACCCTTCATTTTAGGCGGAAATTGGTCTGTTTCTTCACAGATCCAAGAGTGCGAAAAGCTTGGTAAATATGGGTTGTCTAAGATAATTGTCTCTCTAAGAAACAGACCAATTTCTGCCAGCCACTTCATAGTAAAATTATACTGCAGTTTTCTAGATGCTGAGTATTTGTCTCTTATTATGGAGTATCTCCCTGGTGGCGACATGATGACTCTGCTTATGAGAGAAGACATGTCTGAAAGTGTGGCTAAATTTTACATTGCTCAAAGTGTACTGGCCATTGAATCCATTCACAGGTGAGTCTGGAGCTCTTTCTGCAGTTAACAAATTATTGTATGTTATATCGAAATCATAGGTGAATTAAGTCTTACTAAAGGTAGTTGTATTTGTTAAGTTATTTTCTATATATTCTTCTCAGGGACATCAAACCTGACAACCTGCTCTTTGATAAAAATGGTCACATGAAGCTCTCGGACTTCGGCCTTTGCAAACCTATTGATTGCCTAACTCTGTCTAGTGTTAATGAAAATGAGGCCATGGATGATGAGAATATAAGAGAACCAATGGATGTTGATGGCCGTTTTCCAGATGCTGCTCATGGTAGTAATTGGAGAAAGTCCTCACGAACAACTGCAACACTGGAAGATGAATAGGAGAAAGTTGGTAAGAAAGCATTAAAAAAATTCAAAACTGTTTTTTCTTTTCCCCTCACCCAGGGGAAAAATCCCTGCTGCATCTAAGTCATGTTTGAAGGCATATTAGATAATGCTTTTAGTAAAAGGAAAACATTATAATAGGAAAATATGGAGACAGGGCTTTTAAGATGTCTGTCCATATATTTGCACCAAATATGAGGCTCTTTTGTTATTTTCTTTGATAATAAGAAACATTTTGAACTTGTGAGCACTTTGGGTGCTTTGTTGACTTGAAATTTCCCGTTTTGAAAGCTTGTTAGTTCAACTACACTTTTCTATGAAACTACTAAATGTCTTTTAGAATTCAATTTTAGGTCTATGGAAAGTAGGTTCTCTTGATACTATTGAAAGGGGCAGAGGGAATCACTCATAGATCATCCTTCTGGTTTCTGCTAATGTAATGGACTATATGATAGATGGCTGCCCATCCTCAATTTTTAGACCAAATTCACATGGATGAAAATGCTTGTATGAAGGAAAGTCCACAACGATTACAGAGATTTGTAAACTTTCTTGGATGAAGTTCTTAAAAGCTATAAGCCGTACTCTCATTAGGTTTTGAAATTTTCAGTTCTTATATGCAACCTTCTGTCCTGTTCTTTTAGTTAGATCAGGTGACATATATTGGCCACTGATATGTATGCCTACTGAAATTTCTAATACATGATACTCCATGTTCACATGAGTAATCATCTTATCCTCTCTCCCCTCTCTCCTTTTTTTGTTCAAAAGGCATTTTCGATTGTTGGTACTCCAGACTATATTGCTCCAGAAGTGCTATTGAAGAAGGGATATGGCATGGAGTGTGAATGGTAAGTTCAATTCCTTATTGACCTTGTATTTCATCATTCTTGCCAATTCTACTTAAAAACATTTTGGATCTCATTTGAAAAAGAAATATGATGGTAACTATTTTGGAGAACAATAAAACGCCTTGCACGGCCTTTCATGAGTCCAATAATGTAACTGTGGGTGGGACTTTTTTCTTACTGAAAAATTACCAATAACGGTTGAATAGAAGACTTTCAGTATCATTTCGGCCTTGGAGGACAATGCATTTGATTTTTTAATATACGAACCACATGGTGGCCGACAATTCAGGGTGCCAATCTTAATTCGTTTAGGCTACTCATTTGAGATCCCAATTTACTTTTCTTATTATTCCTTTTGTTTTTCTCCTCTGGTGTGTGGTATGTTTCTTTCTGTTGGGTTTAAGGGTGTGGGTCAGTGAATTATGCTATATATCAATTCGTCTAGATGGCTTTTCTGCTTTGTTCTTTAACTGAGGAGCTGAATTAAGGGAAATCTAGTTATTGGCTTGTGTATGCTAAAAAATGTACTCTCTACATTACAGCTTGCACTCTTTGGGATTGCACTTGTTTGATTTTCTGTCTGTTGATACGTCAATGCATAATTTTGGTTATCATTCACTTTGATGTCTTGAAATGAAGTCTAGAATATACATCTATTTTCGGAGTTTGAGGGGACCCTAACCTTATTTTGGACCATGTGCATTATGCAGTATGGCCATTACTCTGGGTTTGTATTAGATTGTTCAATATAACAGAGAAACAGAAGCTGGCTAGCAGAACTTCTGCTTTTCATGTGGGGTACTATAGAAAGTGAAATATGTGCAGTTTGTATAATCCTTGCCACCTTATTGATACACTCATGCAGGTGGTCATTGGGTGCAATTATATATGAAATGCTTATCAGCTACGCTCCATTTTATTCAGATGAACCATTGACCACTTACAGGAAGGTAAAATGCTTGTTATGTGCGTTCCTAAATTTCTTTTGTGTGCTCCCCTTATACTTCTAATATCACATTGCTTCTAGTCAGGTGTTATCGATTACCATTTTGAACTGTTACTTCTTTCATCATTATGTCTGAGAATGCCAGCAACTGGACCATTTTTTATGTACAGTTAACTGGATAAAGCTGAATCTTTTGGACATAGACATAATTATGTTACCTTGTCCAAAATGTTCACGACTTGACATGATTTTCAGAAAATTTAGGTTTACTGCTGACCAGTCTATTCATCCAGTGCTTTGCCTTGTTAATGGGAATTGAGGAACGTGCTTCAGACCCATTTCTCCTGTCTAGCTTTCTGTTTAGTCTTGCGTTGAGTCTGACACATGGACCACATATATTGAGTAATCTTATGATAAGTAATTTATTTAGTGAATAACAAGTCATTTCTGAAGAGATTTCTAGTCATCACGACAGAGCATTCTATTGACATGATATTTTGTAAAACTATGCAAGGGTAATTGCAGGAGTATGAGAGCAAAAAATGGTTTCATCCTTATGTTAGAGTTACCTTGGATAATTTTTTTCTTTTTGCTTTTTTGGGTTCCTCGTACACAACCTGTCAGTATGTCTATAGAAAAGTAGAAAAGGTAAGGAAACACTTCCAGTGCATAGCTGTACCAAGGATTACATTGATACAATGATTTTCTGATAAGGTACATTCATGATTGCCAGATAGTTCATTGGAGAAATTACCTGAAATCTCCCGAAGATGCCAAATTGAGTCCCGATGCAAAAGATTTGATCTGCCGGTTACTATGAGATGTGGAACATAGGCTTGGTACTGGAGGAGCAGGGCAGATCAAGGTATGGTTTTACGCAAACTAGACATTTTGGTCTCTCTCTCTCTCTCTCAACTCATTTTCATTACAAACAAATGTGTGTATGCACATCCTTGGTTTAAGGATATTGAATAGGATAATCTATATGAAATGGAAGCAGCCTTTAAACCAATGGTTAACGGGGAGCTGGACACCCAAAACTTTATGAAGTTTGATGATGTGAGCATAGATTTCTTTATTTATTTCTTATGTCATGTTGCATTCTCTACTCTACCGAAATTACTGGAAGTTTGTCAACTTGCAGTACCTACGACCAGCGTGTTTATCTTGGCAAATAGCTATTTAGCTTCAGATTACTACATTATATGCCGCTGTTTTTCAAGAATTATTAATATACTGATGTAACATCTCATATTGTAATAGTATCAAGATTTTATAAACAAGGGTCTTTTGGCATGTCGATAAGCTTGTGTCCATGAAGAGTGAGGTGTATGCTTGGCAACTTCTATTATTTAGTTTATACCACATTCAAAAGTCATTTCTCTTGTTTATTCTCGAGTTTTTCTGTTCTTACGGACTTCTTTATGATGTCATGCCCATGTGCTCTAGTAGCATGTCTACGCTTTTCAGGATACCATCTTAAATCACAATCTAGTTATGAAGAACCTAATTATTTTGTGCTATTGCATCTTACGTATCAATTGTTCATGTACATAATGCCTTTCTTTGAAATTTCAGGTTTTAAATCTAGTATATTAGATCTGTTTACTTATTGGTCTCTTATGAAAAAAAGACTGTTTAGGAAGTTAAAAGATCATAGGATTTGTCCTGATGAGTAAAATTTTTGCTAGTTCAATTGATTTTTAGTTTTGGACTCCTGCTTCAATAAAGTAAATTCTTAACTTACAAAAGGAGGTAATTGGGGTTGGACATTATTCGGAAGCTAGATTAATTACATTTCTTTCCCGTCGACATGGTTCAAGAGTTGAATGGAGCTGCAAAGATTTTGATTCAGGGAACAAGTCGTATAGTATCACCCATTTTCGAAGGATTATGCCTTTGGCACATATGTTAAGTTAGCAATGCTTTAATCAATATGAAAATCTATGGAACCTCTCTCCAAAAGTAGAAAAATGCTCTGTTTAGATTGTCCTTAATTGTGTTAATTGAGTACAATTTTGTATTTCTTGTTCTTCAATTACTGAGTGCTGCAATTTAGTGCTCCTGAGTTTAATTGTGATAGTGATTTAAGGCATCTGAAACTGGCTTTACTTTTACTTCACAGATACATCTTAATTCCAAAGATTTAAGCTTTGTGGGCTACACATACAAGAACTTTGATGCTGTTAAGGAGGCATTGCGTCAGTCATCAGGTAAGGATATTTGTTCTCCTGGATCTCCACTATTATGCGCACATTATGCTTTGTCCTGTATATAAATATTCTAATTTGCCTCATTTTATGCCAATATATAAACATATTCATCCTCGGTAATAGTATGTATTTTTGTCATGTCTATCATTTTCTTGAGACTCACTGGTATTTAGGTCATTTGATACATTCGAATTTCATTTGTTACACTTCTGGAGAACATCACCAATATACTTTTGGAAACTTGCTTCAATATTTTTTTAAGAAAAATGTTTATGGCACTCTTAATGATGGAAACAATTTCATGATATTCTTCTCGGATCTTGTTCAGATCTTATCAGGAGTCCATCACCAAGTCGGTCATCAATTGATTCCATAATTGGTGAGACTTACTGAAGACATTGATACTAGTAGCTACATCCTTTGTTCTTTATGATTCTAACATCATATTATGTATCCATTAGATGATCCCGAGGGGGACCAAACGAGGAAAGCAACATCCGAGGAAAGAGACGTGCAAATGATCACAACAATGGATGATGTGATGTCACCATGAAATAAAACGAATGCTTTAGTGAATGTAAACTTCGTCCAGTGGGTGGCATACGCCTTTGTATTTGTATAGGTTGCTCGGCCCATTCAATGTTTCCCCATGAGATAGCTGCATTTTAATAACCGTCGTTTCTTGTATGAAGTAGTGCTTGAGAAACTTGAATAGAACTACAATAGGTTCTGTATTAATGTTGTACTGCTGCCCGGGTTGGCAATGGATGCTCTCTTGTGGCAGTTTTTGGTCAGACATGTTCCCTTCTGTTTTTATGTTGAGAAAAAAATACTGTCATCGCTTGACTGTAGATTGATTCTCCCTATTTCCCTTTTTTTTGTCCCTTAGATGCTGATGCTTTTCTACATCATATTAATCAGTCCAGATGGTTGGGTTTTTATAGCCTTTTCTTCCCATAATATTCAATGTGATATTAAGAACCAAATACTTTCTTGGAATTAAATAGTTTAGTTTTTTAAAATAAAAATTTTCAGTAATTGAAATTTTTTACAATCTAATCTAATACAATTTAAGTTATCAATTACGTAAACGAAAAACACAATGAAAATATATTTTAAGTAGTTATGTGACAAGGAATATTTTCAAATAAAAATAAATTGTCAATGGACAAAGGGTATTTTAGGCATGTTGGACTGTGATGCCAAACATTAAGTTCAGCCCAAGCAAAAGAATAATGCTATTTAGTACTAGTAGTGTTAGAACATCAATTTAGATGACATTAAATGAAGTGGTAATTACACTAAACCAGACATTATGTTTGACATTTTAAAAAATCAGGTTTCAACTTTATTTATTCAATTTTCAGGTTTTTATTATTTTGATTAATTATGATATTATAAAATTAAATTACACCCACCCACCCACCAACCAAATTTCAAAATCCCAAACCCTAAATTGAGAGAACCCGTCTCTCCTCCCTTCATTATCGTGCCCGACGCCTCTCTTCTCCTCCTCCTCTCCTTCACCCTCTCCCTCATGCCCCTTCTCCGTCGTCTCCTCCTCCCCCTTTTCCCCCCTTTCTCCCTCCATCCACAGCAACCCCCTTCCCCCCTGTTCCCTTCGTGCGGCTGCCCGACACAGCAGCGCCTCGATGCTGCTGTCGTCGCAGCAATGTCAAGAAGCTGTGAATGACAGCGCGACGCTGCTGTGGGTCCGTAGGTATGCGGGGTAGCGATGTGCGTTTGCAGTCAAGGCTCTGCTTGGCCACTATCATATCCTCTTCGAAGCTGGTTCGTCCGTCTCTTACCATTTTTTTTCTCCTCAGTGGTGCGGTGGCAGTGCAATGGGTGTGCTGTGGGTGTGCACTGTGTGTGTGGGGGATGTGGCAAATGTCGGCGGTTTGGGTTAAGTTTTCATCTTGTCGTGCGATGGTGATAAACTTGGTATGGATCTGTGGTGGCGGTCTGTGTAGTGGTGGTGGGGGTCGTCGTTTTTTGTTATTGTTTTGAATAATGAAGTTAACTGTGACCTTCATAAGATATATGTGACCTCGGAATCAGAGCAGTTATTTGAATTAAGCTAACTGTGACCTTAGTAAGTTATATGTGACCTCAATAAGATATATGTGATCTCAAAATTGGAGCAGTTATCTGAATTAAGCTAACTGTGACCTTATAATTTTTTTGAGGAGTGGCTATGAAGTTAGCTGTGACCTTAATAAGATATCTGTGATCTTATAATTTTTTTTGATGAGTGGCTAATGAAATTAACTATGACCTTAATAAGATCTCTGTGACCTCGGAATCGAAACAGTTTTCTGAATTAAGCTAACTGTGACCTCGAAATCGGAGCATTCATCGGAATAGTCGCCGGAATTAAGTGTGACCAAAAAGTAGTCGCCGGAGTAGCCGTCGGCCACCGAAGTAGTCACCGGAGCAGTGGAGTGGGGTGGGGTGAGTTAATCATATTATATTATAGAGGGGTGGGGTGGGGTGGGTTAATCATATTATATTATAATTAAATATTTAATTTAATAGATTACTTGTAATATATAATTAATAAATTAATGAAAAAATTTGAGTTTTGTAATTTAAAACTTTGGGACCTGATTTTTAATTTCCTAAAAGTAAATCCCTGAACCATAAATTTTTCCCTTAAATGAATTATGTGACATTGTATAAATTTATCATTTGATGATATATCTTAAAACCAATTGTGTTGAATAACGTTGCTGCAAATAAAATGAAGAGAGAGAAATCTTCTAGGGAAGCCCAAAAGTAGCCTGGCCCAGTAATTCTTCAGGCCCTGCACAACTTCAGTGTTTTGGAGCATTATGGGCTGTGTGATTAGATCATGATCAACGATGGGCAGTAGCCTATACAAAAAGCTCGTTGCCTTTGTTTATATAAGTTTCTCCTTCTATATAATTCGCGCTGAGTTCGTTTTCTTTACTCGGTGAAAAATCACACTGATTTATGCTAAATCTTGAGCTGGAAAGAAAACAGAAATGATCTAATGAGCACTGGTGCTCATCTTATCATAAGCACCGATGAGTTGGGACATTAATTCATTGGTGAATAAAGATTTTGTGAGTTCTAATCCACCAATGAATTAATGTGCCAACTCATCGGTGCTTAGGTTAAAATGAGCACCGGTGCTCATTAGATCATTTCTAGGAAAGAAAATATGGTTCATAGTTCTAAATTAACGCTGCCAAAATGTGTCTCTATTCATGTCTGGTTGGTCATGTACTTCTCGTGGAACGCTGTTTGATGCATCAGAAGTTTTTATTGGTAGACAAACACCCTCAGCACTGCAACTTGAATCGCCTATTTGTTTGTAAATTCGCATAGGAGACCAAGTCAACTAGTTATTAATACTGGACCTGGTTCTCCCAATGCCCAGCCATTTGCTAGAAAATGTAGGCAAGTTCAATTAGCAAAAATGTAGTAGATATTAAAGCTAGAAATCCTAGCTCTTCAAAGTGGACTGTCTATAATAATTAGACACGATATAAGGCTAGGGTAATGCACCCTTAAAAACAGGGTTGGCAGTTCCTTAAGAGACCATATATAAGAAAAAAGATAGTAATAGTAAGTATCCCACACTCAGAACTCGAAGCACACCAATTGACATCCAACTGACCCTGAACCGACAGACAACTCCAAATTGCAAAATCATGTTTTCATATTTGTAATCTGATACTCATCTTATTCACCAGACAATGCAAGGCTTCAACTCAGTGAAAACAGGAACCCTGACAAGAACACGAGATCTTACTTATCACTGCCAGTTTTTTCCTGCTGCTCAGTTTCAGTATTCTTCTCCTTGGATGCCTCTTTGGCCTCTTGCTTCTCTTCTGTATCCTTCTCCTTGGATGCCTCTTTGGCCTCTTGCTTCTCTTCTATATCCTTGCTTTCAACAGTTAACTTTTCAATAAGGTTGGCAGCAGTAGTGCCTTCTTCACTATCCTCAGTAGTTTTTGCCAGAGATTCAGTGATTTCTTCAATCTTATCTTTGAAAGATTTGCAATCTGAAATGGAAAAACAAAAGATACCAAGGATATCAACGGACAGATCCAAATCCAGAAGTAGAAGGAGCAGCTATAGGCAAGAAAGAAAAGTTAATCACAAATGAATATTTTTACATTTTCTCTAGCTATCAGCACTTAATTCCTAATAAATAGAATTTTATAACTGGAGACTATAAGAATGACCCACAAGATTAAAGCATGATCAATTCACATCTTTTGCATGCAGCATACTAATATCATTTGCTTTCCTTGATAAGAACATATGCTGAAATGAAAAGGTTAATGTATCTCTAAATTCCAAATATCTTAAAAATGTAATTTTTGAACCAAACATTAAAGCTTGCAAAAACATCCAAGTGATATATCCATAATATAGCCAAACTAAGATTAAGCATTAAATGAAATTGTGCCACAAGCTAAACAGCAGAAAACCAAACACATGCCAAATCACACAGTTAATTGTCAACTAGAATTAAAATTGCCTTCTGATTCAAATAGAAGAATGCAAAGTTCTAGAAGTTCACGGAACCTACATTATCAAAATATTGATTATTCATGGCACGAAGATTTGGAATATTGTATTAAGGGCACCTTTTTCATCATTTTCTTAATATATCCCATCTACTGGCTTTTGTCACAAGGACATTAAAAGCAGAAATTTATTTGGTGTACATGAGCAAATGTGAAACTGCAAATGAAACTCCACAAGTATGGCAAGAATAGCAATACTAGAATAAGAAAACAAGTAAAAAATTTCTATTTAATTGAGCAAAACATGAAGCTGAAACTAATTAGACTTTGTCTTCCCTCCCATTTTAAAAGCAAAAGTAGGTAAGGTGTAAAGAATGTTTACATTATGCACTCACCTTAGAAAGGATCGAAATAGCACTCAAAACAGTAAAAAATTTCAGAAAAGCAAACATTCTCAAAAGGGAAAGTCCTAAAACAAACACTTGAACCAGCTTGAAATAAAAGTCAACACATCAGAATCACCAACTCCTATCTCTTTCAAGAACTTCCAAACTTCAACTATTCAACAGAGCATTCAGCCATCGACCAATAGAGCTATCAATTTAAGTGATTGATTGATAAAACTTTGCTAAAATTCTTACCCGTCAAACTTTAATTTTAACAACACATTTCAAGGATCCACAACTATTCAACCATACGTTTCATCAACTTTAATCAAAATCAGCTAAAACTTTTGACATAATCTGTATCAAACAACCCCAAAGTTTACAACAGACACAATACCTACTGAAGATGTGGTCTTTTGACAAAAAACCATAAAGATGCAAAAACCAGAAATTCATATCTATTTGCTTCATTTTTTCTTAGCATTGAAACCCACCAAGCATGAACTTTAGTCTAATTTAATAGTACAGTACAAAACATATAGCAAATTGTAGATAAAAAGGAGATGTAACTCACTTTCCACAGAAGCAAACCGAATAGCAAAAGTCTCCTCCTTCAACTCTCCATCTGCAAAATCCGCAGCATGCCACACACATGATTTGTCATTCCCTTGATGCTCTTGCACAGTCATTGTGGGTAGCACTGGATAACAGACCAAAACCAATTCTTAATGGACAATTCAAATCCACGATTCCATATCACAAATCTATAACTACATATGGATGTGGAATACATACATCCAACTAAGATATTTGCACAACAAATACAAATACAATAATCCTCCAATACCCATATTTTTATGTGTGAACTTACCCAGATGGTTAGCACAAATCTTAAGGGTCTTGTTCTGCCTCATGACAAGCCTAATTTTGCCACTCTCCTTGTGCTTGAGTAGCTTCAGTGTCCCAACGCCCCTCTCTTTCCATTGGCTCCCTTCCTTATCAAATCTATACAGCTTTGCCTTCCTAATATCCACATTTAAAAATAATAAAGTGCCAATCCAAAAACCCCAACATCATTAGAATATTCAAGAACATACAAATATAAACAAGTAATTAACTACAGGAAAATTATACAAAATAAACAAAAATACTAAGACCAGAACACAAGTGCAAATCTATGCAGATTTGCAATCAAAACCGCTTTCTTAAAAAATACAAGTTCCCAACATATTCAAATAGTACACTACAGATCTATGTGCTTTATTACAGAAAGAGTAAATACTCACAGATCGAGAAGGATAGCTTCATTTTCTTCGCCAGTGGTAACAGCCACTTCCTGCAGTTTGACGATAGGAGCCACCTGTGCCCCAGTGTCCTCATCGTCTGCCCCTGGTTTTGAATCATCCTCTTCTTCTTCTTCTTTTTTTAGGTTCGTAGGTTCTGTAGTGCTCGCCATGACTGAGAAAACTTGAGAGGAAATCGGCGGAGAATTAGGGTTTTGGAAGCGGTGTAGGGGTAGAGGTTAATGATTGCCAAAGCTGGAAAAATGGAACCGGAATCTTTTCAATCGCAACCTTTTGAGGTGGAAAGAAAAGATTGGGCTTCGATGCGGTTAGTGAGGAGGCCCATTGAGTCTGGACTTAATTTGGGCCGATATGGAAATCATTAACAAAAGGAGTATTTTCACAAAAGGGAAAAATTCATGAATCAGATATTAACTTTGACATTTGTAAAAAGCAGGTGCTAAAGTTTTAAAATTGTAAAAATCAAATTTTACTTTTTATTAATTAATTAAATATTTAATTGTGCAATTTGATCACAAATATCTTATTAATTAATCTTTATATTAATTAATTAAGTATTTAATTGTTGAATTTGGTCACAAATATCTTATTAATTAGTTAACAATTAATTTCAAATCACAACTTATCAATTTAATTGGTCACAGATTATTTCGAGATCACAAATAAAAAAAATTATAGGTCACAATTGACGTCGTTGGTCACAAATCAAGAATTTTATGATCACGGGTTATTTTTCAACCACGAATTAAAATTTTTTATAAGCCACAGATTGAAAAAAAATCAAAACTTTTACTGGTTACAGCTTTATTACAGTGAGTCGCAGTCACAATTTCTAGGTCACAGACACCCATCCCAACTCATCTCATCCCACCCACGACCGTTGCCACGACCACCCTCACAGCCACAGCCATTAAACACAACCAACAACAAAATCGTTGTCACCACCAACTATAACACCAAGCATAGCCACACCACTCTCCATCACCTTCAAAGGCACCGTCCAAACCCTAATCCTAATTCCTTATTTGTTCATTTGATTCAATTCAGCTGGGAAAAGAAGAGAACTGGAAAGAGGGATTCGTTAATTTATTCATTAGTATCATATTTGAATAATGTCTGCAATAGTGTGCGGGAAGAAATCTTTCTTCGAAGAGATACTAACAATGTCATCGCCGGTGTCGGGGTCACCGCTGGTTTCCAAGAAACGTTGCTACACATCCGCCACCTCCCTAGTTCGATTCTCCTACTCGCCACCGATGAGTCTTATTGATCAACTCAATGCTTTGTTTCCTGATATGGACAGTGAGCTTCTTGAGAAAGTTTTGGAAGAATCTGGCAATAATTTAGATGCTGCTATCAAGAGCCTGCTAGGCCTTTGTGTTGGATATGTAGAAGGTGCAGAGAACAACTCGATTGTGGAGGGGGAGGAGAGGAGGGAGAAGGGGAGGCGACGGGAATGGTGGAGACGAAATTGATAAATTAGGTTAAGGGGTTTTAATATACTACCTGATATTTACAAAAAAACTTAAAACCTGATTTATAAAAACGTCAAACTAAACCCCTGGTTTTATGTAATTTCCTCTTTCACAAATACCCTACTTCTAAATACAATTTTGAAAAGTTATAATGTATTGCTTTAAATTTTTGTGTCACGTTCTATATTACGTGCAACATACAGTGTAAATTTTATCATTTCATATCGTCGAATCCTCCTCATCACTAACTATCATCGAATCTAAATCCTACCAAATTCATTAATTCTCATGCACCCAAGAACTTGAAAATTCTCAAAACGAAGAGCAAATCTGCAAAAGTGACACTCCCATCACCCGACGATCACCTATGCAACCAAGTTTTTAGTCTAAAACCATGCCATGCCACACCAGCTTAGCCTTGAGATCAAAGAATCAAAAAAAATGGAATGAAGAATATATGGAGCAAAGAATCGAGCGCTACTTCCATACCACCACAACCACGTATCAAAGAATCCAATGAATTTTGGCTAGATATGGAGTGAAAATTCAAATCGAATAAATATAGTGGAAAGCTGATTTTTCGTCGTTATTTTTGAGGGATCTAATTTAGGGAAGTTGTTTTAACAACCGTGTATGTAAATTTAGAAGATTTTTGGACAAATTTATTAGGAAGATTTTGTTTTGGTATCTGATTGAGATTTTGCACAATTTAGGTTTTCGAAATGCTTTGTTTAATGATATTTACATATATATGGGTCAAGTCCAATTGTCTCCAATTTCTTGTCTCTAGGGTGTTTACGCTCTTCCAGACCATAAAATCTATTCAAACTTGCCTCTTAAAGAATTCAGACGCCAATTTTATAGAAAACGCTTCTGATGTCACAATAACCTTATTAACATTTGAATATGAACGTCAAAAGACAGAGCTAATTAGAATTCATGAGTCGCATCTACGAGATGCAAGCCACTTGATAATAAATCCTCAAATCCGAATACATGGACAAATTACAAAAGTACCATCAGATTATACCACAAACCAGACCTTAGTTGGAGCCTGATTCTCTCAAACCCATAACTGGCATAGGAGCTTGAGAGTTCTCAGTTCCATATAACAACTTAAATTGTGAAAGTTTTCACCGAATTAATTACACAGACAGAGTTGCGAGAAAGTATACCACATGAATGTAAGATGAGTACTCAGTAACGATATTTGGTGGAGTAATCTTTTGGAGCAATAACTAGACCACGGCCCTTCCTTGCACCACGGTAGACAGTCTCAACAATGTCGATAAACTCCTGTTTATCCTTCAGTGCCCAGTTGATCTTGTTGTTGTTTCCAGTGCCCAGATCAATCATAATGTGCTTGTTTCTGAAGAAGAACATGATGGTGGAAGGGTCATATAACTCATACATTGTGTTAAAATCAGGTACCTCGGTGATATCGACCAGGTAAATCACAGAAAAGTTCTTTAATGTTTCAGCAACTGATGCCAGCACCTCGTCCATCTGAAACCCAAAATAAATTGTAAACAAGCAAAACAGAATTATAAGTCCATAAATCAATATATGAATAATGAGAAATTAATCAAGCTGTCAAAGCAAGACAAAGCAATCGAGCAAATAACAAAACTAGACACAGCCAACTAAAATACGTAGACCAAGAAATGTATAGCAGTAAATTACAAATAAAATAAGTTACTATCTCTATGGAAACTGAAATTTCTTCCTCCTCTGCCGCCTTCCTCTCTGTGAACCAAACTCAGTGTCAGATAAATTATTCAACCTATTAGTTTGTAACAAAAACTTGAATCCCTACTATATTAATGTAAAACTATCAGAAGGAAAATATAGAACCTTGGAATGTGATTTGGAAAACTTCCATTCAAACCTTAATTGATTTTTATCAAGTTCCAATCCCAAAAAACCACCACAAGAAGCAATTGATACAGGTAAAAGAAAGATACCCATTCACTAATAACACTTGCAAAAGGATCTTTCAAACAAGAGCAGCTATACAACCTTCTTAAAAATTCAATCTCCAAAGACATCAAAGACAAAATAGTGAGGTAAAAGGAATCACTACATACAGCATAACAGCAAGCAAAAGGCTATGCTTTACCCCCAATAAACTTAGGGCTGGCTGCATAAATCCTTTTTCAACATTCCGTCCAAATCAAAGTCAACTCCGGAAATACAATTTAATATTAGTGATAGTCAGCTATAATCAAATCTATAATGTCATAATAAAAGATATAATAAGTAGTTAATTGAATTTGATCAGGACTTCAATAAGCTATAATGGAACCCTAATTACGAGGTAATAATAGATACAACCAGCTCATATACAAATAATACCAAATGAACAAAGCTAAATCCTAATAAGAGAAAAAGTGCATTTGAAGGTTCCAATTAACAAGAATACTATGCCAATACAAAAATTAAATGACTCGTACTAATTAATTTGAAAAAATAAGAAATAATGCAAAAATTCACCTGCATGCAGGTTTCGTCCCAGTCGTGGCCGAATCGGATGATGACGAGGCGTTCCTCCTCAGCGAGGATAGCTTGATCCACTGCCCATCCCGAATGGAGGTGTGGTAGCATATACGACATCGTTTCTCTCTTCGAGAATTCGAGTTTGGAAAATTTCGTTCTGGTATCGGGATTACGAGGAAAGAAGCCCACTCCGCTTTAACCTTTTCCTTGCAATTCGCTCCTCTCTTGTCCGTTCCACTGCAATTTTCTACAATTGAACTAAAGTCGCATTGATATGGTAAGTCAGTAAAAATTTTCACCTGAGGAAATATGGTAAATATTGATTTTCATGAGAAATTCAGTAATGGTAAGGTGTGGATCCATACTTTTTAGGGAAGAGCGTGGGTTGGGTATATGAAATTACACACAATAAGTAGAAATCATAAGATGTCCAGCTCAGATAACCCCCAAATTTATTTTGAGGTCATAATATTGTAGATAGGTGATGAAATTGAGAAATATTTGGCAATCCTTCCAGAAAATGTATCATTAAACAGCAAGCTCAAAGATCAACATCCCATATTAAACCAAAATTAAACAACAGTAAACTGAAACCCAATAGCTAAAAAATAATTTCCCTTGTATGGAAAGAAAGTTCAGATTTTCAGATGTACACACCTTTTATTGGTCGACGGTTGGTTGCAAGCGACGAGAGGCGAAGGCGAGAGCAAGATTTGCAGGCGTGAATGGCAGAGAGGCGTGAAGAATCTGAATGGTGATTTTTAGGTTTCTGCATTTTGTAAATTTTTTTTTTTTTTTTTAATTAATCAAGTTTGGGCTGGGTTGGATTGAATTCTAATTGGCAGCCTACGGCCCGACCCAACCGATCTCTGATTGAGCCCCTTGATAAAATCAAAATTTAAATTTAAATCAAATTCAACGATTAATTTTAATCATACTTTTTACGGAATTCGTAATTTTTTAATCACAGTATTTCATTTTATAAAGTTCTGTGATGAGCACGATACAAATTAAAGTACAATGGCTATTGGTGAAATTAACCCAATGATTGAGACATTCGCATTTTTTTTTTCCAATTATATATTTGACACAAATTATTTTAATTGTTAAATTTATTAAAACTCAAGATCTTATCAAAGTAAAAGTTGGGGAGTTTTCCAAGTTAATCGGTTTTAAGCAATAAATCAAGCCAAAAACTGCAAACGGATTTTTTTTCATGTTTGTTTTTGTTTTTATTTTTTATTTTTTGCCACAACTTGGATTACAGCTTTACTAGATTGGAAGTAGAGATGTAAACCAACTAGTCTGAAGCCAGTATGGTCAAACTTGACTTGGCACACTTTTTTAGACGCATACAAGGCTAGTCTAGATCGACCCTCGTGGGCTGCCAGCCTCTATAGTCGAGTCTGACATGATTTGACTATAAGTGAGCCTGGACAACATTCAGACTAGTCTAGATCGACCCTCGTGGGCTGCCAGCCTCTATAGTCGAGTCCGACATGATTTGACTATAAGTGAGCCTGGACAATATTCAGATTTGATAATTCTACTTGTACAACCGAGGTTGACAACCTCTCACATATGTGAGGGGTCCACATGTTTAAAAAATTCAACAACAAAAAAGTGAACCCCCCATGTGAATGGTTGTCAACCGAGGTTGTACAACTAGCATGGTCCATTCAGATTTGCGTATTCGTACACATTCTGGCACATGCATTTGAAGGTACTAAACCTCAAATAGCCTTTCCGGCACGCTATCTGTCGTGTGTGTAGCATGCTTCCCATGGTCGATATTTCAAATTTGACAAGCCCTGATCTATATGGCACCGCTAGATTTCACAACAAAATGAAGAAGGCATTGCACAAAATATAGTTCTGGACGTATTATTTCACTCAGAAACACAAGAGGATGCAAACATGAGATCATAGATGAGAAAAACCAAATACTGTTGGTCGTGCGCTTGTTGGAGGTTCACAAGTTATTCTCTTAGGCTTCAAATGAAAACAACTTGTTAAAAAGATTTCACGACAAAAACACAAATAACAAGCCATTGCTAGTTCTAGTATTTCCTGTATGCTAGCTCCTTCACAGCACCAGCAAGATGTTTCTCCTTCTGAATACTCTGCACCCACTTTGCATTGATGTGAACCTTCTCGATGCTCTGCTTCAAGGTCCTGGCTATATAAGACTTCATGCGGCTTGCAAAATACTGTTCTACTTCTTCTGCCTTCTCGTAGGAAGAAAACTGAGGCCGAATAGGAAAAAAGAAAGGACGATTTTCATCAGTTATCACCATAACTTCTTGATGTAGCTTAGTATTAACAAAATGAACAACATTGGACACAAAAGGAGAGATGTCACAAACCTGTGACACAATTGCACTGATGAAGCCAGTTATTAGGAAACCCGAGCCGTATGTTTTAGAAATGTGGTCCCAATTTTCCTGCATCATAATAGAACCCATAGATTACGGGTTAGCATTTATTTGTAAAAATTATACTTATCCGTAGAAAGACACAAACAGAAGAAGTATGTGTATCAGAATGACTAGTATAATAAAATCAATTCAGATAGCGTCACAGATGGCAATTTGCTGAACTTACTTTCAACCAATTCCAAGCTGTCTCGTGTCCATCCCTACTAACAGAGAGTGCAAAAACAACATCTTGACTTCGAACCTATATTTAGAAAGAGGGAAGCTCAAAAAGGCCTGAATAATATTCCATGGAAAGTCAGATCTAAATAACTCGACAGGACCAATAGTACCTCGCTAGACAACAAAAAGTTCAAAAATTCATGAATAATTTCAGGATCCCGACAAGATGCTAGTGAACCTGTAACAAGGATGGGAATCCATTAGTTGCTACAAAATGATACTGATTTTGATGCAGATGAATTAAATGATAACTTTATACCTAGAATTCGTGTCTTTTCCTGGCTGAGATCAGTTTCTCTATAAACTCTCAAAAGAGAATCATAGCCAGATCTGTTTGATTTACTCACATTCTGCATTATAGCCACATATACAGTCTGGAAATGGTAAAAGAAGATGGATAAGTGAAACAGGCAATTTCACAGTAAATATGTAAATGTATATATTTAAGTCGATCTGTATTACTCTTCTCAAATCAGGAGGAAGAACAGGCGAGTTTCTGTCATCCAAAAACATGTGGAAGCGCCTGTTTGCTTCATTTAGTGTTATTTCATGTCCATACGAAACCAATGCAGTCAAAAGTTCTCCTCTTAACATGGCGTCAAGGTGAGCTTCCCCTTGTTTAGGATCCCAACCAAGTGTCCTGATAAATAAATGCAAAAACAGCCAAAAGAATTATAACATATCAGGATACAAAAGAATCAAAATCATAAACAGAAAAAGAAATGCATTTAGTACATTATAGTTGATTCTAATATGCACCACTTCCGTTGCTCTACACGACTAACATTCTAATATGCACCACTTCCCAGCCCCCCCCCCCCCCCCCCCCCCCCCCCCCCCCCC